CTGCTTTACCACCACCCTGCTTCTTCCATGCAATCCCCCCGGAATAAATTTTAAGCTGGCCAGGATTCTGCATTTTCAAAAAATAGAACAATTAAGATCAGTCAAAGAATAACCCAAAGTACTATGACTTACTCATTAGAGATTGAAATCCCTTTGAACTTAATCCCAACAATAAATTGTGCAGTAAAACAAATCCATACACCTTGAAAACCAGTTTAGGGTTTCTTAAACAATGAAATTTGATCACAAAGAAACCCAAAAATTCCTCATCATTCGTTCAATATCCCTCACATTCAAGATTATAAAGGAAAATTAAAGTTTCAAAACTTCTCAATTTCTGAGAACAAACCCCAAAATTAGAGTTTCGAATAACAGAGTCGATAAGCTAAGCTAAAATATAATAAAATAATTCAGGTTTTGGCGAAAAATAAATCAAAATAACACAGCGAACAACAAATGGTTCGTTCACGTCTAGATTAAAAAAAAAAAATTAGGGATTAATTCAAGTTTAGAAGAAAATTACAACATCACACAAGAAAAGAAAAAAAAATAAACACACAGAGAGTGATTGGAACGCACAGTGCCGCCTCGGCCGCCGAGAGAGATGTTATTGAAGAGGTGACCGTCTGTCATTTCTGTGAACTCAGTGATGAAATTGTGTCTACTGAAAGAGAAGGGGAGAGAGAGTAGGGTTTATATGAGAAGGGAGAGGGCGAGATGAGAAGCCTTGCTTTATGGCGCCAAACATAAGAAGAGACGGTGCCGTTTTCAAAGCACAGATTATGAACAGAGAAAAAAATGATTTTTTTTTTTTTTTTTTTTTTTGAGTGCTGTAAAGTGTAAACCCTACAATTGACAATTGTACCCCTCTGTTAATGTGCTAACATTTCTACGACAATATTGAGTAATGCTACCGCCACCGACGGTAGTGCACCGAATTTGTGAACCGAATGACGTGACAAAATCCTAACCGTTGATTGATATTAAGTTAAAATTAATCAACGGTCAGGATTTTGCCACGTCATTCGGTGCACTACCGTCGGTGGCTGTATTATTTTCCCGACAATATTAACCTTGTAATAAAAAAATACCGGAAATACCCTTATACCATACCATGGCTATTTAATGTAATGACAAATATGCCATTAGATATTCAGAGTGATATTATGATTTTGCCCTTTTTGAATATAAGTGGACGTTGCATGGAATATAAACATTATTCACATATTAACTTTAAGGCCGGAGGATTAGTTCCTAACTTCTAGTCGTTGACTTTAGGCCCCAAGAGATTAGTTAAGGTTTTGGTGAAAAAAAAAAAAAGACCATATTTCACAATCAACAAAATATTTACAAGGGTGGCCACCACCCGGTCATTAACTGTAGGATCTCGAGAGATTAGTTTTCATCATTAACTTTAGTGCTCTGGGGGACTTACTCAGTCGTTAACTTTAGGGACCCAAGGATTAGCATGTATATATATATATATATATATATTACAAAATGAACACAATCCACATTCAACAAAATATTATTCATATTTTCGATCTGTTTTCACTTGCATTTTGCTCCTGTAACCATCCTAATTCTGAAAACTGGTGTTTCTGCAGGTTTTAACTGATGAACTTGAACTATCTACAGAACTCAATCCACCATGTCTGACAAAATGTCAAGCAAGGCTGTTAAATAAGGCGGCCTAACATGTCTAATGAGATCATCCTTGACTTGAAACATGAATCCGATTTTAAGCTTTAAATGAGGGATCTCTTCTCCTGTGAAATGTGAATCTGGTCCTTTAATAAAAGTATTTTCTTCCTTTTCACAATGAAAAAGAACAAAAGTTAATGAGAAAACACATGAAAAAAACAAACGCTTCTGCTTACTTTAATTGTTATAGTTTTGGAGTTGAAGCTTTGTTTGATGGGTCTATTTTCTTTTTGTGACTGTTCTTTAGTACGATTGTTATAATTTTGTTTTGTTTTGAAGATCAAGATCAGCATTATGGAACAATTCTCTTCCTCCGGATCAACCAGAGAATTACTCAACAAGAAGACAATAGAATTGGAGATCCGCCGAGAGGCACAACGCCTATGTGAAGAGACTGATCACCCAGTAGAGTTCCAGTCACGATTAAAATGGGCAGGTTCTCACCTCAGGTACCTTCTTGCAGCGGCAAAGTATCCTTGACAAGCTTTGTGTAATACCCACGTCCAAAAATATGGTAAAGATTATTCTATAGTCATAGTGAATATATTTAACTAGTTTTATAGTAGAATTCCGTAAAAGTTTCAATATGGGTAAAATGGTTATTTCACATAGAATCACGTGTTCAAGTGAAAAGTGAGTATGATAAATATAATGTATTAAGTGTGCTAGCCATGAAAATAGAGTAGTAAAAAGGTTATGAATAATACATGTGATGTACTGCCGAGATAAATATGTGTTTGTAAAATAATATAAATAAATTAACGAATAAGGGTATGAAAATATGTAGTAAGAGAATAAATAAAAGACGGTTTTTAAAGTTGTTCGAATGCTCAAAGGTTAATCCTACATCCATTGTAGTTGTATTAATAAATAGTCGCGTGCAGCGAACTAAGTTACAATCTAGAGAAAATATAGAGAGAGAAAGAGAGAATGTATGTTGTTTAAGACTAAAGATAAGTCAATCCCGTAAATGAGGGAGGAGCCCTCTATTTATAGCTGGAGGATTCAAGGTAATAATCATGAGTCTGCAGTCTGGCAAATGTGATATAATTCCTAACCCGCTTCCCATTGGTTGTTTGTACGAGAGACATCTCTAAATCGTGTAGGGCTTAGGCAGGTGGATGATTCCTAACCACTCGCAAGCCTGGCATTCACCTATTGCACTCACGAGAACCATACCTCTTCCGCCATCACACGACATGGCAACGTCTAGACCACACAAAGCCTCCCTTAATTCTGATTGGCCCTTGTTGACAAGAGTCCACGTCAGTCCTGACTTTTTAGGCATAACAATCTTTCACATGAAAAGTAAATCCGATTTTAAGGTTTAGTAAGAGACCCACCCGGATCATCCCTCACATAAAATGTGAATTCGATTCTAAGGTCTAATGAGAGATCGACCTGAGATTGACGTTTTAGTGACTGATCGACCTGAGTTTATGGTGATTACTTGAGCTGCTACCCTCTCAAATTGAGCGTTTGTTTTAACTATCTTTTTGATAGATCTTCTCTAATTGTAATCTTCTGGCGGTAGAGCTTGTAATGTGAAACCATCAGCCTCAAAGTTTGAATGTATGCAATATATAAGCAATTTCACATCAGAAAAGCCAAGTTCTTGCATCTTTTCAAGTACAGGCTGATTAACATGGACTTCCAGGGCATTAATAATTTATTAGTTTGCACTGACCTGCTTTGCTACAAATTTCGAGTACTTTTATTCTTCAATCAAAGTACTTTCTTCATTTTCACAATAAAAAAAACTAAAAGTTTCGTGAGGAATGAGGAAACACATTCAAAAAAAAAAAAAAAAACAACTGCTTCTGCTTACTTTAATCCAGATTCCACCAGCATTTCTTGTAAACTCCTCCTGGAAACAATATTAAATCACAGTTCACACAGGCTGCAAGCCTGCAACAAGAATATTACTAAAATATGTGCAGATTCCTTAGTAAAAATCGCTGTTGGCGCCCCCGTGGAGGCAACAAACTCCATTGACACCTACATGTACTTCACAGACTTGAGTAAATTAAACGAGCATAACGAATCCAAATAACAGACATGATTTAACCTCAACGAGGCGGCGAATTCGAGGAATTATATCACATTGGAGTTTAGCATATTGCCTGTTTACGACGAGCAATATGATGTATGCATCTTTGCTTTTATCAGAAGAAATAAAAATTCTGGAGTATTCTTAACAGAGTACTTGAGCACTTCCAAGTATAATTTGTTTCAGGTAAACTTGTCCATTTTGGTATCTGGAAATGTGAACAACTGGTTTTTGGATTTTTATGTTTAATCTCCTTTGGTTTTATTTGGTTTTTGTAATGTATATGACTTGAATAGTTTGACAGTTTTAAACTGTTGCTGTATCTGTGGTTGTATAACTAATGACTTGATGATTTCCCTTTCATAGATCATAGGTTTAACAGCCAATGGATTCACTAAATAACAGCATGAACAGTTACCAAATTTAACTGTTTATACAACATTTTCTTTTGCATTTAAAACTAACCCAGCCACTTTCTGCAAGAAAATTTGTTTGTTTTGTAGTACTAAAAGGACAAAGCAAGCTATTATCAGTGCAACATTCCCTACCCATCTCACCAAATGAGGTTCTAAGAGTTACGATCATCACATATTGTCCTATCCATCTTAAATAGTGGGGTTTAGAGTGCATCTCCGACTTGAATTTGAATATTCTTTTCAAATAAGTCAAGAGTACTAATGAATGATGAAGAAATTGTTTGCATAAAGTAGTTCTCTAATCTATTTCGACTTACGCAAATACTGTATCATTTTTTAAAAGAATATTTCAACTCTTCACCAAAATACTTTTAACTATTCACGAAAAGAGTCCATAAAATGTTTGTAAAGTTTGGTTTTTAGCCAACTCAAGTTTGCAAAGAATATAATAGATAAAGAGGTCTCAACTGAAAGTATTAGTGTTATAATTTGGAATAATTGAGGACCAATTTTCACCTGGTATTTGCTGATATAAATTTGGTTTATTTCAATGGCCAATCAGAGGGGACTTTTGAATTGGCAAAGAATCCCATTATTTTAACCATGTATATGAGACCAAGGAGCTTGGATCTTTGGGGAGAAAACAGAATATGGACACTTAAAGTTTGTATCCTTACTATAAATTTGTCTGAAGCTGCCTTGTGACCATCGCCCTCTTTGTTAAAACTTGCAAACAGTTGTAAAATCAAACAAAACAACAATGAGTCCAAAAGATAGACAGATGCTATATATATATTTACACATTCTGTCACTCCCCTCAGGTCAAGCAAACAGAGAAAGAAAGAAAGAGAAAAAGAAAGTTAAAAGAGTCAATCAATTCAAGGAAATAACTAACTATAGACATGGAAATGGTGATGGTGAAGAGTGAAGGAAACCAAGTGAGGCGCCGCGCTTACATGCCTGCAGAGAGTGAAGTTCAGGCTACAAGATGTGTGAAAAGGAGGCGCAGAGATCATGTTGTTGCAGCTTCACGAGGTTGTGATGATCAGCAAACTGGTACTACAGCTACCACTGTGAAAAGAAGTTCAAAGTTTCGCGGCGTCAGCAGGTATAAACAAGCAATATATCATCGTTTTTTTTACACCTTTCTTGATCTCGAGATTGAATTACTTATTAACTGATAAATTTTTCGATCTGTGAAATGAATAGACATCGCTGGACTGGTCGATATGAAGCTCATTTGTGGGATAAGCTTTCTTGGAATGTCACTCAGAAGAAGAAAGGGAAACAAGGTAGATAATAAATGCTTCAATTTTCTTTCTTCATCATCACTTTCTCTTCTTCCATGTATTTCAATCTGACCACTTTTATGTGTCTTTTTCCTCTGCTTTGTGCCTTGGAATCAATCCGGACTCAACAGTTTACCTTGGTAAGAACTTTGATCCCTCTTCTACACCAAGTCAAAGTTCAAGTTCTTTCTTTTCTGGGGAGGCTAATGGAGAAAATTAACACATCTTTTCTGAATTTATCAGGTGCTTATGATGAAGAAGAAGCTGCTGCAAGAGCATATGATTTAGCTGCACTTAAGTATTGGGGCACATCAACTTTCACCAATTTTCCGGTACACATCTGTTAAGCCGAAGGCCTATTTTCTTACGCATATATTCAAAAGATTCATAAAAATCTAACATAAACTCATTGCCTTTAACAGATATCTGATTATGAGAAGGAAATTGAGATCATGCAAACTGTTACCAAAGAGGAGTACTTGGCCTCTTTAAGAAGGTAATTATTTTTTTTGATACACAGATTGTTACCAGGTTCCATGGCTATTAGTTTCTCTAAATAACAGTTTTTTGCTTTTCCTTTTCACAGAAAGAGCAGTGGCTTCTCAAGAGGTGTATCGAAATATCGAGGAGTTGCAAGGTGATTTTCTTGAAATTTTGATCATCTTGTAGCTTATTAAACATTACTGATTTAGAGCAAACACTAAAGATCTCTCTGGTGAAAATTATACTATGCAGGCACCATCATAAAGGAAGATGGGAAGCAAGAATAGGGAGAGTTTTCGGAAACAAGTACCTCTACCTTGGCACTTACAGTAAGTTGCATCAAAAATCTTGAACAAACTGAAGCAAAATCTCAAATACATGGTATTCAATCAACTCTTATTGAATACCTGCAGGTACTCAAGAAGAGGCGGCGCGAGCTTATGACATTGCAGCAATTGAATACAGAGGGATCAATGCTGTGACCAATTTTGATTTGAGTACTTACATCAGTTGGCTAAAACCTGGAACAAACATGGTGTCTGGTGCTCATGAGTTGCACATAATCACAGAACCACAACCAGTTCCATCACCAACCAGTTACATTCCAAGTGAGGACTACTCACCTTTCAACTCCAATCCATTCACAGCAGACTACTTGAACTCCCCACCAAAGCAAGAAGAATTCAGCTTCCAAACCAAAAGTTCTTTTAACTCATCAGGCAACAAATCTTCAACCCCAACCGCACTCAGCCTTCTCCTGAGATCTTCCATATTCAGAGACCTGGTGCAGAAGAATTCAAATGTGTCTTCAGACGATCAAGAGTCTGATGGGGATGAAACAAAGAACCAACAAGCAGGCTCAAGCAGTGATGATGATGAGTTTGGTGGGATATTTTATGATGGACTTGGAGACTTCCCTTTCATCTATTCTGCCAACAGAGACCATAGCATAGACTTTCAGGAAAGACAACACTTCATTTTGTGATCAAACAAGAACAGATAGATACCTCTGTAAAAAAAGATGCAGCAGCCTTGTAAAAATTAAGATTTATGTTTTTGAATTTTTGAGTGGTTTTGTAAATAGTTTTTGCAGTGGTTTGTTTTTGTATCTTCCCTAAACTAGGACTTGGTTCATCAATGAGCCTTTGTATGAATTTCTATAATCATTGTTTTAGTCTTTTAGAGCTTTGTAATGCCTAAAAATGTGTTAAAATAATTAAATAAACACAAACATTTTGCTTGATGTTAGATTTATAACAATTAAACTCAGATAATTTGATTTATAAATATTTGGATATCTTATACATTCTTATCTTACAAGTTACAAGTCGATTTTTTAAGGTGAGTTCTATCCGAGTACCCATAAACAAACTCGAGTACCTTTGAAGGAACTCGTGCACAGGAGTGAATGACCCAAACTGAAATGAACTTGGGCTGCTTGGGCCGCTTGATGGATCTGCTAAAGTGAGAGTAGCCCAGCTTCTCCAAGTAGTTTTGGGCCGCATGAGTTATTAAATTAATCACTGGAAGGTATCCGAGTATAATCGTCAGTGAGCCAGACTTAAACACAAAATCTTTCGGTATAGTTAATTCTAATCATTAAATGGTTTATCATCCGGACAAAGGGGAGGCATTAGAAAAAAAAAACAAAAATTCACACATTTTCATTAAAATTAGAAAAAAAATGTAATTCAAAGTTTCTTAACGAGTACTTGAGCACTTCAAGTATAATTTGTTTCAGGGAAACTTGCGCCATTTTGGTATCTGGAAATGTGAACAACTGGTTTTTGGATTTTTATGTTTAATCTCCTTTGGTTTTATTTGGTTTTTGTAATGTATATGACTTGAATAGTTTGACAGTTTTAAACTGTTGCTGTATCTGTGGCTGTATAACTAATGACTTGATGATTTCCCTTTCATAGATCATAGGTTTAACAGCCATGGATTCACTAAATAACAGCATGAACAGTTACCAAATTTAACTGTTTATACAACATTTTCTTTTGCATTTAAAACTAACCCAGCCACTTTCTGCAAAAAATTTGTTTGTTTTGTAGTACTGAAAAGAATTTCGGTGCAACATTCCCTACCCATCTCAGCAGTGAGGTTCTAAGAGTTACGATCATCACATGTGTTACCACCTCAAATAGTGGGGCTTAAGGATCCCTGACTTGAATTTGAATATTCTTTTCAAATAAGTCAGAGTACTAATGAATGATGAAGAAATTGTTTGCATAAAGTAGTTCTCTAATCTATTTCGACTTACGCAAATACTGTATCATTTCTGAAATGACATTTCAACTCTTCACAAAATACTTTAACTATTCATGAAAAGAGTCCATAATATGTTTGTAAAGTTTGGTTTTTAGCCAACTCAAGTTTGCAAAGATATATTAGATAAAAAGGTCTCAACAGAAGTATTAGTGTTATAATTTGGAATAATTGAGGACCAATTTTCACCTGGTATTGCTGATATAAATTTGGTTTATTTCAATGGCCAATCAGAGGGGACTTTTGAATTGGCAAAGAATCCCATTATTTTAACCATGTATATGAGACCAAGGAGCTTGGACCTTTGGGAGAAAACAGAATATGGACACTTAAAGTTTGTATCCTTACTATAAATTTGTCTGAAGCTGCCTTGTGACCATCGCCCTCCTTGTTAAACTTGCAAACAGTTGTAAATCAAACAAAACAACAATGAGTCCAAAAGATAGACAGATGCTATATATATATTTACACATTCTGTCACTCCCCTCAGGTCAAGCAACCAGAGAAAGAAAGAAAGAGAAAAAGAAAGTAAAGAGTCAATCAATTCAGGAAATAACTAACTATAGACATGGAAATGGTGATGGTGAAGAGTGAAGGAAACCAAGTGAGGCGCCGCGCTTACATGCCTGCAAAATATTTACAAGGGTGGCCACTGGAAACTTACCCGGTCATTAACTTTAGGGACTCGAATGATTAGTATATATATATATTACAAAATGAACACAATCCACATTCAGCAAAATATTTACAAAATATTATTCATATTTGCGATCTGTTTTCACTTGCATTTTGCTCCTGTAACCATCCTAATTCTGAAAACTGGTGTTTCTGCAGGTTTTAACTGATGAACTTGAACTATCTACAGAACTCAATCTACCATGTCTGACAAAATGTCAAGCAAGGCTGTTAAGTAAGGCGGCCTAACATGTCTAATGAGATCATCCTTGACTTGCAACATGAATCCGATTTTAAGCTTTAAATGAGGGATCTCTTCTCCTGTGAAATGTGAATTTGGTTCTTTAATAAGAGTATTTTCTTCCTTTTCACAATGAAAAAGAACAAAACTTAATGAGGAAACACATGAAAAAAACAAACGCTTCTGCTTACTTTAATTGTTATAGTTTTGGGGTTGAAGCTTTGTTTGATGGGTCTATTTTCTTTTTGTGACTGTTATTTAGTAAGATTGTTATAATTTTGTTTTGTTTTGAAGATCAAGATCAGCATTATGGAACAATTCTCTTCCTCCGGGCCAACCGGAGAATTACTCAACAAGAAGACAATAGAATTGGAGATCCGCCGAGAGGCACAACGCCTATGTGAAGAGACTCATCAGCCAGTAGAGTTCCAGTCACGATTAAAATGGGTAGGTTCTCACCTCAGGTATCTTCTTGCTGCGGCAAAGTATCCTTGACAAGTTTTGTGTAATACCCACGTTCAGAAATATGGTAGGGATTATTCTATAGTCATAGTGTATATTTAACTAGTTTTATAATGGAATACTATAAAAGTTTCGATAGGGGCAAAATGGTCATTTCATATAGAATCACGTATTGAAGTGAAAAGTGAGTATGATAAATATAATGTATTAATTGTGCTGGCCATGAGAATAGAGTGGTAAAAATGTTAGGGACAATACATGTGATGTGATGTTGAGATAAATACATGTTTGTAAAGTAATAGAAAGAAATTAAAGAATAAGGATATGGAAATATGTAGCAAGAGAATAAATAAAAGACGGTTTTAAAGTGGTTCGGATGCTCAAAGACGAATCCTACGTCCATTGTAGTTATATTAATAGATGGTTACAGTCAAGTCATGTACAGCGAGTTGAGTTACAATCTAGAGAAAATATAAAGAGAGAAAGAGAGAATGTATGTTGTTTAAGACTAAAGATAAGCCAATCCCGTAAATGAGGGAGGAGCCCCCTATTTATAGTTGGAGGATTCAAGCTAATAATCATGAGTCTGCAATCCGGTAGGTGTGATATAATTCCTAACCCGCTTCCCATTGGTTGTCTGCACAAGAGACATCCTTAAATCGTGTAGGACTTAGACAGGTGGATGATTCCTAACCACTCGCAAGTCTGGCATTCACCTGCTGCACTGACGAAAACCATACCTCTTCTGTCATCACGCGACATGGCAACGTCTAGATGACATAAAGCCTCCCTGAATTCTGATTGACCCTTGCTAACAAGAGTCCACGTCAGCCTGACTTTTTATTTCACAATAAAAGTGAATCCGATTTTAAGGTTTAATAAGAGACCCACCCGGATCATCCCTCACATAAAATGTGAATTCGATTCTAAGGTCTAATGAGAGATCGACCTGAGATTGACGTTTTAGTGACTGATCGACCTGAGTTTATGGTGATTACTTGAGCTGTTACCATCTCAAATTAAGCCTTTGTTCTAACTATCTTTTTGATAGATCTTCTCTAATTGTAATCTTCTGGCGGTAGAGCTTGTAATGTGAAACCATCAGCCTCAAAGTTTGAATGTATGCAATATATAAGCAATTTCACATCAGAAAAGCCAAGTTCTTGCATCTTTTCAAGTACAGGCTGATTAACATGGACTTCCAGGGCATTAATAATTTATTAGTTTGCACTGACCTGCTTTGCTACAAATTTCGAGTACTTTTATTCTTCAATCAAAGTACTTTCTTCATTTTCACAATAAAAAAAACTAAAAGTTTCGTGAGGAATGAGGAAACACATTCAAAAAAAAAAAAAAAAACAACTGCTTCTGCTTACTTTAATCCAGATTCCACCAGCATTTCTTGTAAACTCCTCCTGGAAACAATATTAAATCACAGTTCACACAGGCTGCAAGCCTGCAACAAGAATATTACTAAAATATGTGCAGATTCCTTAGTAAAAATCGCTGTTGGCGCCCCCGTGGAGGCAACAAACTCCATTGACACCTACATGTACTTCACAGACTTGAGTAAATTAAACGAGCATAACGAATCCAAATAACAGACATGATTTAACCTCAACGAGGCGGCGAATTCGAGGAATTATATCACATTGGAGTTTAGCATATTGCCTGTTTACGACGAGCAATATGATGTATGCATCTTTGCTTTTATCAGAAGAAATAAAAATTCTGGAGTATTCTTAACAGAGTACTTGAGCACTTCCAAGTATAATTTGTTTCAGGTAAACTTGTCCATTTTGGTATCTGGAAATGTGAACAACTGGTTTTTGGATTTTTATGTTTAATCTCCTTTGGTTTTATTTGGTTTTTGTAATGTATATGACTTGAATAGTTTGACAGTTTTAAACTGTTGCTGTATCTGTGGTTGTATAACTAATGACTTGATGATTTCCCTTTCATAGATCATAGGTTTAACAGCCAATGGATTCACTAAATAACAGCATGAACAGTTACCAAATTTAACTGTTTATACANGTGGTAAAAATGTTAGGGACAATACATGTGATGTGATGTTGAGATAAATACATGTTTGTAAAGTAATAGAAAGAAATTAAAGAATAAGGATATGGAAATATGTAGCAAGAGAATAAATAAAAGACGGTTTTAAAGTGGTTCGGATGCTCAAAGACGAATCCTACGTCCATTGTAGTTATATTAATAGATGGTTACAGTCAAGTCATGTACAGCGAGTTGAGTTACAATCTAGAGAAAATATAAAGAGAGAAAGAGAGAATGTATGTTGTTTAAGACTAAAGATAAGCCAATCCCGTAAATGAGGGAGGAGCCCCCTATTTATAGTTGGAGGATTCAAGCTAATAATCATGAGTCTGCAATCCGGTAGGTGTGATATAATTCCTAACCCGCTTCCCATTGGTTGTCTGCACAAGAGACATCCTTAAATCGTGTAGGACTTAGACAGGTGGATGATTCCTAACCACTCGCAAGTCTGGCATTCACCTGCTGCA